CATAACACAGACTGAGAACGGTGCTGATTTCTGAAGTTCTGCCGATGGAATGGATGCCTTGCCAAGATTCCCGCATTCTGCTGTGTTTTCTAAGTCTGTATGTGTGCGTGCCTGTKGACTTRMRTGCCTGTCTGAGTGCTTGTCGGCATGAGTGTGTGTGTGACYCGCAAGGGTACTTGCKTGTTTGGCAGGCCCGTAGGGCCGGTACTTACCTGTGGCCGTGGCATTGAGGGTTGCAGCAGGGAAAACACTCAAGTAGCGGAGCCAGGGGCCCGCGGTGCTTAAGAGCAGCGGAAAAACACTCAAGTAACAGGTAGGCCGGTACCGCACCCAGTAGCAGTAGATGTGCCGGGTACTCGAGGCCAAACAGAAGAAGACAAAGTTGGCATTTTTAGAGGCCCAGTAGCGGTAGGCTAGGTCTAGGCTGGTACCAGTCCATCCAGTCTGAGTCTGGAGCCTGTACGGGCAATACCAGTGTCTGCAATGATGTTTCCCTCTGAAAGGGAGGAGGTACCGGTTGCTTGGGAGGCCGAGCGGCCTGGAAGTCACCGCCCAGGAGGCAAGCAGGCCGCTATATCAAGAGGCCGAGGCAAGAGCTCGGCCTCATTCTTCAGTGTGCAAGTTTGGCGACACGCTGCTGGAGCGCTGGGTACTACAGCGCTGCTAGGAGGAAGAAGCCGGGAGCTTCCACCTTGGCTATGGTGAAGCTCTACCGGTAGGAGGAGGAGGGAGAAGGGGACCAAGGAGGAGAGTGGCGGGGTACTTACCTGGCTATGGTAGACACCATCTTCATCACCTTGTTAGGCACTGCATCTGGAAGAGACCTGGGACCAGAAGGGCAGCGACATAGCTGCTTTGGGTTGTCCTTTGGACAGGAGGGAGCGCCCTCAGTACTCCGCCATAGCCTCAGCCTGTATATAGAGGAAGAGGAAGGGTGGCCATGGCTATGGTGGACCTCATGTTGTGCCTGCAGTAGAAGTGGGATTCGGACATTGATTCTGGTTCAGCCATTCAACATTATTCTTGTTATTTCTTGTTTGAATAAGAGGGGAGGAGATAAGGAGGAGGAGATTGGTTGGCAAGGAAGAAGACCCTTGTCATTGGTCTATGCTGGAGTACATCTTCTTCCTCTTTCTTACTTCTTCTTCTTCTTCTTTCCCTTCTCTCTCCTCTCAAGTTCATTCATTTCTTTTTGCAATTGGACGGCATTGTACTTCCTGATCTTTGTATACTTCGAAATTGGCCAGCATCGTAACAGGCGCCTTTTCTCCAAGCACTGTATGGGGTGAATGCAGACCAGTTTCAACGGCGAAAAAGGGAGCTCTAAGCTATTCGCAAATGTTTGCACTCCACATAATCTCAGTGCTCACTCCCTCCTCCCCATCCCCAGTGCGGAGAGAGCAGATGCTTTAGACGTTTCTTGAGGAGAGAGGGAAGAGAGGACAACAAAACACGTCCACTTCAAACTTTCAAGATCTCAAAATTAGCCCTGTCAACATGCACCTGCACCTGCAGTGTCCTGAATGCACGGTCTTCACTCCAACATACAGCTTCCCTGGTGCACACACGGAGGGATAACTGCAGGATGTCAAAGTGCAAGTGTGCTACTCCTGTCCTTCCCTATTATCACTTTCAACCTTGACGGTGAGGCTGGGGAAGAACATAGAAAGAGCCCAATCAGGGAATTAGAAAACCTTTCAAGCGCGCCGATTTGTGCACAGTTTGCGCACGTCGCGCCGCGCACCGCACAGCGCACCGAAGCGCAGCGCACTTGAAAAATTAGGTCCAAAAAAAAAAAAAAAAAAAGAGTAGGGGTTTTCTAATTTCTTAGGGCCCCCAACTCGGCAAAAATGTTAAACTCACCGCGCAAGTTCACAAACCGGCCGCGCCCACGGCCCGAACTTTTCTTTTGGGTAAGGGCTGCTGAAAATTCGATTTGCGCAGGCCCTTCCCCAAAAAGTTTCGAATGGCGAGGCACAAAATAGGGCTCATTCCAACTTTTGTTTTAGGCGGGGTATGAGAGACGTCCTTCCCGCTGCCTTCTGCAAATCCCACACAGTAGTGGGGTCAGTTCGCAAGAAGGGGTAATCGCCTAATAACGACATTCCCCGCGAAGCTTTGCAGAAGTCGCAAATTGGATGTTCTATTGCCAGCCGACCACCTATAGATGCTGAAGATTGGCGTTCAGGTCCGCATGTCGGCAGTTATGGGTTAGGATGAAGATGACCGTGGCTCTCTCGTTTTTTTGTTTTTGTTTCTTACGAATACGTCCAGTGGGGCCTGCTCCACTACTCACCAAATGCACAAAAGAC